GGTACAAACTGCATAAAATGCCAACCGCATTGTGTGCGTGTGTGTATGTGTGTGAGTGTGTGTATGTGTGTGTGTGTGTGTGTGTGAGAGAGAGAGAGAGAGATAGAGAGAGAGAGAACGAGAGAGGGAGAGATAGAGAGATCGTGCATTTTTCGTTCTTTCAGGGTGTCTTCGCCCAAATCAAATTTGAAGATATTGCTAACGAGAATATGAAGGTGCTTTTAAATTACATCGAACAAACGGCCGAGCGAACGATGGTTTTGAAATAGGCGGGAGCCCGAAGTCACTAATCACAGACATCAGAAGGAGACAGTCGTCATGTTCGGCAATGTTATGAGAAGAGGGAAAATTGAACATGTGGTGACCACTGGAAAGATCTGTAGAAGGAGGGATAGAGAAAGACAACGATAGAAGATTCTTGACAATCTTGTTGCATGACATGGATGTGTGTTAGCACACGAACGGATACATGCTGCAGGAGATCGCAGATTGTGGAGAGGCATGATCACCCAGGCCAGTCGGCAAGGCACCTGATGATGATGATACACTATTAGTATTCGTTTTCGGCCGAATAGTGGTCCCACTATTCGTATTTGGCCGAATAGGGAAAATCAATATTCGGTACAGCTCTACATATAAGTAACTGTGTTGTATTGAGTTATTGAACACATAAACATGGTTAAAGATTACAAAAAAGCACAACTGAAGTCCCCCGTGTGGGTTCCGGGGCCCCATTGTGGGGGAAAACTAGAATAGACCCACTGCCTCCCCAAAAGCATGTCGTAGGAGTCGACTAATTGGGGAGCTCCCTTTGAAGTCGGAGTGCATCTGCCGGAGAGGCAAGGAACCAAAAGTCTGTATTCAAGAGAATGAGATCTGTAAAACTGATGCACACGCAACACTCAGGTTCTGGAGCAGGACTGCAGTTCAGTAGTGGACGAGCAACCAGAACTTTCCGCCAGAGTGTATAGCTGGTGAACGCGAAGAAGAAGAAGAAGACAACGGAAGTAAGCGACTCTTATCAATGGAAACGAAACAACTACTAAAAATATAAATATTAAAATTATGTGTGCGAAACGATGCAGCCAATCAATCTGAAACGAAAATAAACAAGTTA